ATTTCTTCCATCATTCACTTCTTGTCTTCATTCAATTCACCCCTCAGTGACCTGGGTTCACTCATCTTTGTTGACCTGTTTCTATCACAGAAGACAAGAGATTGGTCCCTCTATAGACCTGGAAGTGTCAAAGTGATGGCTGCTATTTTGCAGTTACATTACTTACTTTAAAATTTGTGCAAATGTGCAGAAGCAAATAATACTTTACATGTTTTGGTCACAAGATGTTTTCAAGAAGTAAAATTTCCCTTGAGCAGCATATAGTTTCTACTTGAAACATTAGAAAATTTGAACATATTACGAGTGAAAAAAGACACCAATAACATTATGCTATATTATTATGTAGCGCAAATTATTGTAGCTATACATTTTTAATTAGGAAAATTTGATCCCACAATTAGATTGTAGAGTAGTTTCCAAAGTTATTATCAACAAACTGTTTTGCTTTGCTCATCAAAGGCTTTTTGAAAAGTTGGAAGATTTTGGCACATTTGACCATAAACTGTATAAACATGTGCCACTTGAATTAATAAAATATCAACTAAAAATAATTAATGTTTTAATAAATGAAACCACACTAAATGTTTTTTACAAAATGTCTCCGTCATTTGTTATGTATTAAAAATGTCCTGCATCAGGTAGAAGGGAAGGAAACACTTTTCAAAAACTCTTTTTTAATTCAAATTTTTATAATAATTTTTTGAATTGGAAAAGCTGTGTGTGTGTGTGTGTGCGCACGTGCACGCTCCCCTCTGGTACCATCTGGAGCAATGGGATGCTTTGAATCAAACTGCCAATAGGCTTCATGATAGACATGATTAAACACACTAATTCTATGGAAGGGAATTATATTTCGGGCACCTGTTCTACCCCCCTGTAATAATGTAATGTGGACACAGGGAGGTACACACTAGGGCTGTGAATTCAACACATACAAAGATAAAGACCACTTATACCCACACAGACACACAAAGTACACCCTCATCACGGATTCATACCAATCATGTCAGTGCTAATCATGGTGAACAAAGCTGTCAGAGGAATCTAATCATATCACAGAGGACGGAATCGTTTACTGTGGATGCGGATGAAAGATGAGGTGCATATTCTTGATTCTTAGGAAATGAAAAGTGTGAGGTTTCTCCAAATCATCAACACACAAGCTACGGTTAACACTGTTCTGGGTTCAAACCTGCCAAACTGACAAGTGCCTTACATGTGTAGAGTTTCCATGTTCTCCCCCGTGTCGACCTGGGTTTTCCAGCTTCCTCCCACAGTCCTAAAACTTGCTTATAGATGTGAATGTGAGCGTAGGTTGTTTCTATATGTCAGCCCTGTGATGGACTGGGATTCTGTCCTGGGTGAACCGCCCTCTTGCCTGACATCAGGCCCTCCAGACGATGTTAGGATGATAATCAGTACAGATAAAACCGTGTTAGCTGGTGGGAAACCCCCAACCTCATTTTAATGATTCATGAGTGGAACATTCAGATTGTGAGACAGACGACACAAATAAAGATTTGAACGTCTCTACTCGGAAAAACTTGAATCACCTAAACAACAAGATAAACCAGATAAACCATGGCTAAGATAACTGAAACACTTGGTTAAGGTGAAAGATCGTCCATTCAAAGCACTTTAACGTATAAGTTACATTCACCCATTCACGCACATCTATACCGCACCTCTATGTGTGCAGCACCTTTTTATCGATCATCATTCACACTGACTTAAGTTCAGAGTCTTGCCAAAGGAAAATACTGCCCACAGACTGAAGGAGCAGGGGAATCAAACCACCGATCTTCTTCATGTACTGCATCCTCCTCCCCCACCCCAACCTCTACGCCCTGTTTTCTGTTGTTGCATTAAGGATGCACTACTTCCTGCACTAGCTTTTAATATTAGTTTAATACACACAAATTATCCACGGATGTAAATACCAGTGACCGTAATTGATTTATTTGTTCTTTGTAATGACTCAGCCTCATCCAAATACATCATGGTCTGAGTTGCAGGAAAAACATTACTGAAAATGAAGTGGCTTTAATAATGACAGTAAACTTTGGCAGTGTCATTCTTCTCCATATGGCTGATCAGGCTGTGAATCAGTTTGCCATCCTCCAACAAAAAACAAGACTTTTAATTACATTAAATGCAAATATGGCAAAGCCATATGCTGGTATTATAAACAGACATATTTTAGAGTCCAGTCATTTAACAGATGCTCACACTCACAGCTTTCTTCCAACAAGTAGCCTAATAAGAAAAAGAAGAATCATAGATGCGGAACTCTGCTTTTGACAAGAGTGTGAACCCAACAAACCCGTCTTCTCCACTGTTTCACAACAGAGTGGTTGTTTAGTCCTCCACACTGATGATCCCATCAGTACAAACTGTGCTCAATTAATCAAGCACAGCATGGGAAGGCGGTAAAGAACTTATCTCTCAGTCACCTCTAAAATATAACTGCATTGCATCAAAGCAGATCAAAACAACTCCTCAGTCTCCAGGATCCTTTGGAGAGCTGAAAATAATTATGTTGCGAGCCAAACCTGGCCTGTGGGCACAGAGTTGTTTGATATTTACTGTCTTCAGTCCAAACTGAACTCATGCCAATTGTTAACCACCACCATCTGGTCAATATCAAGCAGAAATACATGAAAAATGTGCTTTGCTCCGCTGCGCAGGGGACCGCTTTCCATGGACCTAAACTTCTCCAGCAAGGAGAAAATGTAAAAAAATCAAAACATAGGATTCAGCCAAGCACGATCACAGTATTGTGGCTTTTCATGGGTGTTGTCACTATGTTACTGTCATCGTCAATACGTTTCAGGAGGTCAAATAACTCTAATAAGATAATCATTTCCACCTTTTTCTAATATGTTTTTCCACATGATCTTGTCTGAAGCCACAGCTCTGGAGCTTTTCTCTGACCAGCGGCTGCTTACAATGCGGCTTCATATTGCAGTACGCTCGTGGTGTACCAGTAACTACACTTTACAGACACTCTGAGGAGTTATCCATCATATTCCTCTCACACACCCACACTTATCTGCACATATAAAAACAAACCAAAGAATATGTTGCTCCTGAAGCCCAGATGCAATTTTTGTTGCCCTACAGGAAAACACAGCCCATTTTGGGAAGAACCTTCCTCAGGGTTAAAAAGCTGACATGACTGATACAACAGGTGCTGCAGAGTGCAAAGCAGAGACCTTGGCTATATGTGGAGGAGAAGAAAAGAAGATTTAAAAGGCTGATGAAAGAAAACAGGGCGAAAAAGTGGATTAGCGATGGATAGACGGGAATGTGAGAGGACAAAAGGTGAAGGGAAATCACACATGAGAGGAGACAACGGACTCCTAGAGGGAGAAAAAAAATAGATTATGAATGGGGAGAGGAAGAAAACATGAACAATGGAGAAGATGGACGCTTGTAAATAAGGGGATAAAAAAAGAAAAGGAGAGGAGGAAAGTCAAAGAAAAAAGGGATTAAGGATGGAGGGCTCCAGTGAAAGAGAAATGAGATGGGAAGGGGACAAGGAGGAGAACGTTAGGGTGAAGTGATATGCTTATAGTGTCTGGAGAGAAGATGGCAGCTGTGTGTGTGTGTGTGTGTGTGTCAGAGTCAGAGTCAGTGAAGGCACATCTGGAGAAGTCTCATCTCTCTCTCTACTCTTTTTTCTCCTTACTTAATTTGTTTAGTTAAAAAATGACATTTCTCTGTCTTTACTTTCTAAAAGTCAACTTTAACTGCTGGCGATCATTTACCTGTTCCTATGATTCTGTGTGTTCAACAGGCTAAATGCCGCTCATCCTTTTTCGTGAGTGAAAGACAAAAATCCAAGAAGACGCTTGTCTGCCCTTTTTGTCTTTCCATCTGCAATACATTCATCAGAAGAAGTAGTAGAGAGGGGGAGGAGAGACAGATGGATGAATGGATAAGAAGGAGGGAGAGAGGGAGGGAAAGAGAGGGAGAAGTAGAGGTTTCAGGGTTGTTGGGTTCATGGATGGAGGGATGGACGCTGGCGAGGGGGTGGGGGTTTGAATACCTAGACCTGAGCAGATTAAAGTAAACGCAAAGCTGGTGGATGATGGAGGGGCACAGGGTGCACCTGGGAGTCTGGAGAACGAGGCGACCAGCAAGCCAGGGAGGGGGGGGTCGGAGAGAGAGAGAGAGAGAGTGAGAGAGAGGAAGGAAGGAAAGAAGGACGGAGAAGAGGAAAAAGCGGCATAGTCGTGACTGTAGGTTGATTTACGGAGGCTTTCCTTTTAATGAAATTGTTTCAGTGACAGAGCCGGTAAAAGGCCCTTAATGGATTGGCTGGCCTAATGTAATGAAATTACTCCCTCTTTCACTACAGAGAGAGAAAAAAAAGAATAAAAGAGGACATGGGGAGGAGGAGGAGGAGGATGGGAGAGGAGGAGTGGGAGAGGAGAAAATGCAATTAATATTTACAGAACAGACAAGCAGGGTGGGCTTTAGTAGCTACGGCTTGCTCGCTCTCTCCTTCAGTGAGACTACCTCTCTCGTCCCTCTCTCTCCCGGTGGCCAGTGTGCGCTGGGCGTACAGCAAGGAAGGGAGGTGATAGGCTGATGCCAGACAGGCCACTTCAGCGCACCGGTCTCCTCTCTCGCACTCTCCTTTTCCTCCGCTCCTCTCCTCAGGGCTGGCCATATCAGCACTGAGGTGAGAGACTTCACTTCTGTGCCTTCGTCTGGACTGGGTTTCCCTGTGCTGTTTGTGTGTGAGTGTGTGTGTGTGGGAAAGAGTTAAAGCCAGGATCTCCCACCTGCTATCTTAAGCCCACTACCGAGGTATCACCTCACACACACCCCCACAGACACACACAAACACATTCTCGGAGCCCATCTTCTGTTAGTCCCTCCCCCCCAGCTGAGCGGGACCCTGCCGACTTGCGCCTGACACTCTCCCATCTCTGTCTCCCATCTGTGTGTGTGTGTGTGTGCGTGCCTGTGTGTGTGCGTGCATGGTGCAGGCAACTGGACAGCAACCACATCAGCTGCATCGAAGATGGAGCTTTCCGGGCACTGCGCGATCTGGAGATACTGTAAGTAGAGACAAAACCCTGGTCTGCTCACTCTGACTGCTCCATCTCTCTCCTCCTCCTCCTCCTCCTCTGCCTCTTCTTCTCATCAGTCTCTTCTTCTCCTCTCTCCTCCGTCTCATGAGCCGTCTGTGAAGCAGGGATCTGTCCTCTTCTCTGACTGTCAGCATTGTTTTCTGTCTCATTCTGTTCCTTATCTCTTCACGCTGCTTTTTCCTTTCCTGTAAAGATTCACATCTTCCCTCTCCTCTGCTCTCTTTGTCTCTGTTAGTTGCATGTCATCCCTCGTTCTTTACCCTTAATCTACTTTTCTATCTCATCTTTTTATCTTTCTCTTGATTCAAATCTGCTGTTTCTCTTGAAAATAAGAAAATCCTCAACTTGACAACGCTTTTTGTGAGAGGATTAAGTTTCTTTTAATGTTTCGGTGTGAAGTACATGTGTGCATTGGATAAAGGATAAAGTGTAGCATACTTGTTCATTCAGCAGCACATCGTCCTTGACTTACAATATTCTGAAAGTACACACACCCACACACAAGCAGAGGGAGAGTGGAATAAACTGTATCTGCCACCTGCTGTGGTTTGCGTTTTCCCTGCACCATGTGTTAATGCATGTTGGTGACTTCCTCTGCATATAGGAACACGTTAATGATGTATAGCGTGTTTGCTTCCAGCTGTGTATGTGATTGTGTGTGTGTGTGTGTAGCTGAGTATGTGTGTGTATCTCAGTGTGTGTCTGTGTGTGTGTGTCTGTGTGGAAGTTTGTGTGTCTGATCTGTCTACATTTTTAGAGCTGCTCATTTGTCACTATGCTCCAGAGGTGTGACTGGCAACGGTGCACTGCCGGGTTGTTCTGGGAAAGGTTTCCACCGTATCTACATCTGCATCATTGTGCACAGATGTCTGTGTGTATGTGTGCGTGCATGCATGCGCGTGTGTGTCTGTGTGTGTCAGTGGCATTTGTTCTTGCACAGAAGTAGATGCTCTGCTTCAGTGTGCATTGTGCATCTAACCCCCAACTCATTGCAACAACTTAGCCATCAGAGAATTTATATTGTGATAAAACACAGCATATGTAGGTTGACGTGTCAAAAAGACAAAAAGAAGTGAACAAAAAATGATTTCTTTGCTTGGCACAAGCATTGGGTCATTTGTCTGAAGGGTTGTTGGCAAGTCGTATTCGTATTCTGCTGTGTGGTGCTGACGGGTGGAAGGGTTAGTCGTATTGTTGCTGAATGTGATTATTAGAGGGTAAAGCTGTTTAGCAAATGAGGAAAGAAAAGAGAGAGAGAAGCACAAAGACAAAGAAAGACAAAGAGATGTGAAGAAAAGGCAGAGGAGAGGAAAGACCGACAGGAAAAAAGAGGGTAGAAGAAAAGAAGGTCAACATCATCGTCTTAAACACTGAGTCGCTCTCCATTTTTACATTGTTCAAATGCTGCTTCATCATTATGAGTGGTTCAGGTTCAGTGAGATCAGTCTCGTGATGATAACGATGTAGATTCATCGTAGAAATTAAAACAGTAGGAGGAAGTTAAAGGCTTCCATGCTTTTAAAACCATTATATAATATAATAAAACTATTTTCGTTTCATTATTTAGGCAGCTTAAATAAATAATGTAACTCTGGTTTATTTTGGAAAACAAACAATATTTTTGTTGAACAAAATATGTAAAAGTTTGTGCTCAGGACAAACCAGAGCTGCAGCCGTGAGGAATCTGTGATAACGCTCTAAGGTTCATGTGTTCATTTACAAAACCTGCATCCCACTCACTGAGACCATTGACTCCCAACAGCATCAGGACCATCTTGATGAAGATCCAGCTGTACGTGTTGTTGGTGCAGCATTGTGCTGTCTGATGTGTTCACATGAATGATTAAAGAGAGCAGTGGAAAACATTCAATAGCCCACATGACAGCTTACACTGTGGATCACAGCCCCGTACAAATCTTACTACTAATCTTAAATGTCGGGAATCAACAAGGTATCGATATTTTTCTGCTGCAAAATTTTATTTTCTGCTTGAAATGCTGCAAAAAAAAAGTTTATTTCTTCATCCATCATTCAACCTGTCGTGTCTCCCTTTCAAGGTTTCATTCCCTCATTGCAAAGTTTTTTTTTCCATGATTCGCCAGCTTCAATTTTCGCTCAGCGCACAATGAAAGTGATCGGGGGCAGATAGAGGGGGGGATCAGCAGCGTGAGATACAACATATTAGCAATTCATAAGACTCTGACAGCTGACTGCTCGGCAAGATTTACAATTCACTGTAAATGCGCAGCCATTCCCATTCAGCAGACAGCATGACAGCCCACAGTATATTCAGCGAATGTGACGTTTTAATAAAGGCAGGTGTGTGTTTGTGTGTGTGAGTCTGTTGGTGTGTTTGTGTGCAAAGTGTTTGTGCGCGTGTGCAAAGGGCATGAACGACAGTAGGCAATTCTGCCGCTGGACTGATCTTCATTTCTGGCATCTTAAAACACACACACACACACACACACAGACACACAAACACACACACACAGACGCAGACCCATCTGTCCAGTTCTGGGGGTTCATTTCGTGACTGAGGTACAAAATGGGTTGACAGAGGCAGCAGTGATTGGAGTTCATGTGACTGCACCATCAGGTAGGTTCATTTGTGTGTGCTCACATCTGGGCACACACACACACACACACACACACACACACAAACACGCACACACACACACAGTGACAGATTAATGTATTTGTGGGAGTGTGTGCAGTGTTGTGCTTCATTTTAAAGGACCAGTTTGTGTTACAGGCTTTTATAGTAAGAACATTTTCCATAAGTATCAGCCAGCAGTTCTTTAAAGGGCTGTTTGAAGCGATCAGGGTTCAATCAGTCGATCAACAGTATGAATTGTTTCCACTGAAAATCCTACTGACAATGATTGTTAGTTAAATCTTCAGTTATAGGTTTACTACTGGGATTAAACATGTAGTTGTGATAGAGGTCAGGCAATGAGCTGTAAAGTTAATGTGGTCCATGGTGGTGCCTGCGTGGGTTTTTCGTTATGGCTGCACATGTATCTCATTCCATGTTTTCCTATTTTTTGAGTGTCAATCAATTTGTGTATTTGTGTGTTCAAGTAATTTCTCACTTAACACACTATCTACAGTCACGTTGTCTAAACACTGGTTTTAGAACTGCAGCCCAAGACAGCCTGACAAATGGATGGTGTGTGTCTCTGTGTTTGTGCATGTGTGCTTCAGCCATTTCTGTGAGTCATGCTAATTGAAAGCCACTAACGAATCTCCACATTAATTAATCTAGTAATTTTTAATTAGCCGCTGTTTCTTGGTGGACTAGGTTTTATCTGAGCTGCTTAATATGTTTCACGGCAGCAGCGTTGAAGAGTCGAAGCTGCATATTGGGGCGTTGGGCTTATTTTGAAAATGCTAAATGGATTTTAGTTTTTTCATTTTATTAATCTTTTCGTAATTGTTCCCGCAATAAAAAAAAAGGCAGTGATGAGGCGTTCATTTAATTATTATTAAATTAGACAGCATCTTATAATTATGAGACATTTTAGGAGACAATTTACAAAATATTTCACTAATCACAAAATGAAAAATTTTGTGGATGTGCCAATGTGGTGAAAGACATCATCATTTGTTGGACAAGCATTGTTAAATTATTGCGCAAAAGTCAAAACAGTTGTGATTTAGGTATTGATTCACTCAAACAAGCAAATAACTTGAGGACGCAGGTTTACTGTGTTGTTTGGCGACAGCAGAATAACATTTGACAATCAGCATTTTACTGCATTTCACACACATTCACCTGTTGACGGGAGTGTAGTGGTTTTGCATGAGGACTAACTTATTTCACGCGTTAAGTATAAAGGAAGTGGAGACAGCACCGTCCAATGTATGCAGCTGTGTTCAGGTGACGAGCTTTGATTTCACTAAAATCTCCCCATTGTGGTAAAACATGTTATTTTAATGGCTGTAATATTTACTGAACAGCTGTGCTGCTGCGATCAATGTCGCTGCTAATTTTCTTTATGTCCATGCTCGTATTCCGGATCAGATCCCAGCTCGATTTTGTACAAATGGATTAAAACTATAAACAACAATTATGTCCTTTTATTCAATTTAATTTGCTTTTCGAACCTTAACACCAGTTAGAGGATGAGGTGGTGTTTGCAAACATATGTTTTCAGTTAGGGGTGACACTAAGAGGTTGTATTACAAGTAATTTGAGATAAAGTAGGAGATTTTCAATTCTGAATCATGCAAATGTGTAAAATCCCTGAATAAAATTATAGCGCTGGAATTGAGCATAAAGGGTCAATAGAAATCCAAATGATGCATGTCATACATCATTTTAAAGATAAAATGTTCTGCAAAACTTTCAACGCATCGTATCACAGAGCAATGTAGAAAATAAAATTCAATACCACTAACATCTAAATAGATACCTGAGAGTTTCTTATTGATTCATTTCATTTCTATATTCAAAGAAATGAATAGATTCCGTGACATTCAGGATAAAGTGATTTGAACCGCTGTTAATCTCTGTCTCGGTTTGACGGAAGAGGTTTTCTTCCTGAAGAGGTTTAGGGAGAAAGATGGAAATGACTAAAGACACTTTTACATTCACCATTTCCTTTGAAATCTGCTCCCTTTACTCATACGTCCTTAGATAGTCTCTTTCTCTCACTTCCTCTCCGCTCCGCTCACTCTTTCATGGCTGCCAGGATGAAAGTGGAGGATCAGTGTTGTAAAAGCAAGGCAGGGCTGGGCTATGATTTATTTAGACCCAAAAGGACTGCAGTTACTATCCCATCCCTTTTTTTGCCAGAAGAGACAAGACACAGGAGGTTTTCAGGGGGTGGAGGGAGTTCACAAAATGGAAAAGGGCAGAACGAGGGATTTGAGCGGAGGGGAAGAGAGGAAAGAGTGTGGTATCTGTGTTGTAAAAACAGCCAGTTTCCTGGTCATCATTTATTTATCTGCTGTTGGACCTGAGG